CTACTGCTACTGCTACTGCTACTAATCCCCGTCGCACACAACATGGGCCTGCCCTCTGGTGATAGCAACCAGGCATTGTTCGCAGATGGTGTGTCCGCAGGGGAAAACCTTCCTGGGATCTCGGCTGGCTCTAAAAGGCTTGAACATGTCCGTAACAACGGCAGATGCCTGTTAAACCCAACAAGGGTATGTAAGGATGGACAGATGGATGGATTGAAGAAGAAATGGATGGACTTGTATATGTTTATGTATATGTACAGGTATATGTATAGATGTATATGTATATTTATCTAAATGTACCTTGTAGATGTCGAAAGTCCAGGGGTTCAGGGCTAAGGTCGCCTAAGAGTGGGCGCGCCATGTGTCAAGAATCTAGGCTCACTGAAATGTGGTCAACTCATCTCTGGCCTAAACTCCCTGATTACTGTAGGGTTTGGAGTTGACGAAGTAGAGTCCTGATGCGTCAAAGCCCCGAGAGTATTTAATGATGTACAACAGATTAATAGGAGCCCAACATGAAGTCGCCTCGAGCAAGGGGTTTTATAAATCAGGGGTCTACATTACCCCGATATAAAAGAAGTTACAAGGCAACCGAAAACCTCTTACAAGGCCATCCGAAAAGCCTTCAACGACACCTGAACAAGTTTCGTAAAACCCATCTAAAAACGCAAACCGTGGCGAGCATCGGCACGTGGAAACCTTCGCTGTCAGTGTAGTGGTTCAGACATATGGGACAGTCCATGGCGCAAGGCGAAACAGGACTGGCGCCTGGTGGTTTCTACAGAAGTAACCAGTAATCACAATTACCGCAAGGATAACAGTCGCAATCTGAATACTTAGTGGCGATGTTATACAGAAACAAACACTACCGGAAGTAACAATTTTGGACTTAGTCACAGATTAGTGGTGAGAGTATTGTAAAGAAACTCACTAATGATAACAATAGCACGAAACCATAAAGAAAATTGCCACACGCAGTCACAACGGTAATAACAATAATAATAATAATAACAATAATAATAATAACAATAATAATAATAATCACAACCGCAACAAACAAAACCTTAAGCCTAAACACATTGGAACGATCATTACCTCTCTCTTAAGTCCATGCCATGTATTCTTGGGCCCACAAAAGCTGGCATTGCACGAGTCAACATCCAGGCTTAACGAAACCCAACACCCAAATCCGTAAACCCGAAATCGAAGTGCTCAAGCCCAACATGCGCGCCGTTTCTTTGCTTGGGGTAGGGCCGAAGCCCAAGCAAGCCCCTTAATTGATGTAGACCACCGATGAATAGAGACATTCTCTGTTCAACGGTCTTTAACAGCCCTGGAGACGGGATTTCCGTGTTGGGTGTTGGGGTTCGGGGCTTAGGGTCTAGCGTTTGCAGTTCACGGCCCTGTGAATAAAGAGCTGGGGTTGTGGTCATCGAGGCTTCAGACGGCCTTCTTGTAGAACGAGGGTTGCGCACTCGACGCCATGATTTGCGGATTAAGGCTTGGGGATTCAGGGATCGATTTCCTTGGGCCCATGCCTTTGGCCCCCAAAGTTGCGAGACATAGGGTGATGTATAAAGCCCACATCCTACGTCCTGAAGCACATCCTAAACTTTAGGCCCTAAACCTTACACCGTAGAGCGATGCCCGCTCTGGACTTAATAAGAGTGTTTATAGGACTAGAAGGATTTTGCAGGGGATTGGGCCTGAGGTTTTCGTGCTTTTGGGTGGTTTCGGGTTGGGGTTTTGCGGCTTGAGGCCTTAATAAGAGTTTGAGGCCGCCGGCATTTTATGGTTCCTTTGTCCGAAAGACACCCTGAGAAAAGTAGGCCTTTTAAAGTACAGGTACGATTTGGGACGTACGGCTTACGGCTTCAGCCTTCGGGCCTTGGGGCTTTACAGCTTGTTTTAGCTGTCAGACTTTGCACCCAGTTCGTTCTCTTGCGAATTTATGTCATGCTACGCTCTGCATGCTAAGTAGCCGTACGTTGTATGCGAGGGTTGTTGGGCTTTGAGGAGGCACGTCGTGTCTTTTGCAAGATGTCTTCACTCAAAGGTCCTCGTCCTCAGCTGAGGAAACATGAATCTTACAACTCGGCTTTGGGAGATCCAGAAGTGACATCTATCTTAAAACGCATGCCCGAAACCCCGACACCCAGAATCGGGATTTATCTATTTATGTACTCATACGGATATTCATGAACATTTCCCAGACTGCGCCGAAGCACAACACTCGCTGTGCTTGTTCTTTACAGGCCAAGGCCCTGAGTCATAAGCCACAGCCTAAAGGTTAGAGCAGTTTATGGTACATGGCAAAGCTGCAGACATAAAGCCTACCATAGCCCCAAGCCAGCAAAGGCCTACCACACTGAGCATGAGCATGTTGGAGAAATGATCATACTACTGTGTAGGGGCGATAGGTCGAACACACTTTTCAGGCCCCTAGATTGAACCCATCAGCTTTTTCGAAGCCATGAGCTCTCCGATGCAATCGCCTCTTTGGTGCGCATCCTGCGAATATAAAACGCCGCAAGGCCCAGGGCGCGCTGAAAACAGGAAGAACAGCTTTAGGTAACAGATTCCAGTTTGGGGATTTAGGAGCGTGGGGCTGAGGGAAGGCTTGGGGTGAGGGGGCTAACTGCTGGACTACGACAAAAATGATAATGATCTTGGTCTTGCCGGGGAGGGTGGCTGGCGGACCTGATTAAGATATCAGTAGAAGATCATTCACAAGAGTCCAAGTCGTTGCTCCGGGTCATGACACTTGTCAACCGGATGAATGCGATAATGGCAAAAGCCTCAAAAAACAAGGAACACTTTAGCAGACCTGACATACGGCGCGGCATTTTCTATATCTGAAGCCCCCGCAGACAACCCTCAAAGTCCAACTAGGACCCTAAAGCAAAACCAGCTTAATCCTATGGCTGTGAATACCATGTACTATATTGGGGACCTAAAAAGGGACCCTAATTTAGAGAACTACCCATATAAAGCACCCATTTTTTGTTGAGCCCGGAGACCTCACGGGGCTGGCGTCGGAGAACGTGGAGGAGGACCCTCCAGAGAAGGGAAAACCAAGGCGCACTGGACTGAAAGACCCGCTTCTCCCGCTTGAGCTAGGGGAGTGGCGACTATATGAAGGGACTACGGGTTTCGGGGGTTTAGGGGTGTAGGGGTTTAGGGTTTAGGGGTTTAGGGTTTAGGGGTTTAGGGGTTTAGGGGTTTAGGGGTTTCGGGTGTTTTCGGCGATTGCAGACAACGACGATAAAACGGCCGCTACGCGATCAGATTCGTGATTTGCTTAAAATAGGGGCCCGGATCAGACGATCCGGGTTTCAGGAGTTCGTGCCTCTCGTGGTGTAATTGAAGGGACTACACGACTACAAGGCTGTGGATTTAATAACTCGATCCTCTATACATTACACTACTAGCTAAGGTCTATGGGGTCCCAAAGAAGCACAGTACCTCTTTACTACAGGATCCTGGTATGCAGTTTCCCTTGCAACTACGAAATATGCCTCATCGATCTGTTCTGACCTCTGCGGGTGTTCCCTCCGGCTCCATCGAAGCTGTGGCTACTCTTTCACTTAGAACTTTCACCGTCACCTACGTCTAGGGGTACCACTGACTTCTCAGTGCCTTGTCGACTTCTTGTGCTCAGTGCCGCAGGGTTGCTGATGGCTTTTAGGATGTTGGGCCTAAGCCAAATCTGAGCGATTAACCTTTGCAGTTCTTGAGCAATCATCCATGTCCGAAATCCTTACAGTGCTACAAACATAAAGCCTTGTACTGCAACGCCCTAAATCCTCAGAGCCTCCTGAAGGCCCCAAGTACTACACCCTAAACCTTAGAACTCCGCATCCTAAACCCTTGAAGCCCTAAAGTGCTGGGCGCTGTGTCTTGCTTCTTGTGGGATTTAAAGCGGAGTCTCACGGGCTCTCCAGGCGGCCTCCTGAGAATTTCTCAAAGGAAGGGACCCCCTTTTTGGGGAACCGTAGGCAAGCCCCCAAGTAGCTGCATCTTGGTGGAACTCACTGGAAGGAGTTGACGCAAGACCCTGAACCACCAGCATAGTTTGATTAAGCCATAAGCCTTAAGCTTGAGCAGGCCGAGGGCGATGTTAGTGTCGGCCGGTCGGGGGGAAGCTCCAACATACGCCCCAACAATCGAACCACCACGTGCACAAAGCTTGGAGGGCACCATGAGTACGGCCGCCAAGCAAAAAGTACAAACTCCAGCACGTCCCAGACCTCCCCCACCCTTTCCAGTGCCTTTCAAGGCTGCAAGTAAAGGATTCCTTCCAGACTTGCAGCCCTGCTCGACCTTTGAAAAGCCTTAAACCCTTTGCCTTCAACCCGAAAGCCTAAGCCTCCAACTCCAAACCATGCCAAGCCCCAGATCCGAAAAGGGGCACCCTCCGTTCGAGAAGATCCCGCTTCAGAAACTGTATCTGCAGGATGCAGGCCAGCAGAGAGACGACCGGCAACTCGTTTGGGGGGTTTATAAACGGGTCTAGAAGGGATGTGGGTAGTTTTTTCGAAACTAGGGCCCCTTTTGGGGGTTCCTATTTATCAGGGTGCCGTACTATAATTGGGGCCTAAAAAGGGGCCCTAATTTAGAGAACGACCCATGTGTGGGGCTTTGGTTCAAGATCCAGTGTTTGAGGTTGAGGGCTTTGGATTTAAGGCTGAGAGTGCATTGTGCAGGGGTTATGGTTCACAAGGCTTGAGACTCTAGGACAAACTTGGCTCCAGAACCAGAAAGCATACAAACGTTAAATTCCAAACACAAGACTGCAACAACACGTCTATGCAATCCTTACCAACTGCAACACAGGGGGTCTGGGGCTGAAAAAGCCACCTTCTGTAGGGGCCTTAATAATTAGAATCGGGTTTTCGGGCATATTCTACTATACTGCAACTATAATAAGGACCCCCCAAAAAAAACAAAAAAGAGTATATGTAATTATTAAGGCCCCTGTAGTAAGCCCAATCTACCCTGGCACTCCCTAAAGGTTTCCCCACAGTTCAGGGAGCTAATCTCGTCTCAAAGCAAGCGCCGGCATGGGCAAGCGTTGAAGCAATCCAGCGCTTGGACCCTCCCCAAGGCTTTGGCCAGGTTTTGTTGGGGTTTGCGGATATTTTGTG